ATAATAGAGCTCTCTATTATGAGCTCTTGATATATATAGACTGAAGTTAATCCGTCCGCCAGTATGTGAAATACTGACATCACGCCCATGCGCAACAACGTCACTATTTCAAACAGCGCGCTGCTAGCAATGTAGAACTGTTACATTACTCACGGCCTTTTATGTGAGTATTCTACATGGGCTCGGCCAGATTATGGGAACATTTTACAGAATTATTTTGTTGGCGTTTGCGAGTTAATCCGTCCGCCAGTATGTGAAATACTGACATCACGCCCATGCGCAACAACGTCAGTATTTCAAATAGCGCGCTGCTAGCAAGGTATAGAACTGTTACATTACTGACGGCCTTTTATGTCAGTATTCTACATGGGCTCGGCCAGATTATGTGAACATTTTACATAATGATTTTGTTGGCGTTTGCGAGTTAATCCGTCCGCCAGTATGTGAAATACTGACATCACGCCCATGCGCAACAACGTTACTATTTCAAATAGCGCGCTGCTAGCAATGTAGAACTGTTACATTACTCACGGCCTTTTACGTCAGTATTCTACATGGGCTCGGCCAGATTATGTGAACATTTTACATAATGATTTTGTTGGCGTTTGCGAGTTAATCCGTCCGCCAGTATGTGAAATACTGACATCACGCCCATGCGCAACAACGTCAGTATTTCAAATAGCGCGCTGCTAGCAATGTAGAACTGTTACATTACTCACGGTCTTTTATGTGAGTATTCTACATGGGCTCGGCCAGATTATGTGAACATTTTACATAATGATTTTGTTGGCGTTTGCCGATAGACGCCACTGTCACCATTTTGGATATTATGTGTGATAAATTCAATAACTTTTATTGAAGAGTAGACACAACTAACAAGGATTAGAACGTATTTGTAGAGCTTAAATAAAAAATGCAGTTGTAGGACGTGTGTTAGTGGTAAGATCTTTGACATTCGATACGTTAGTGTATTTGTCGCAGATAAGTGCACGAGAAACCACTGCCAAGCCAGGTTTGATCGGAGCCAGGAAGGTATTTTTTTAAATAGGTACCTATTAGCTAAAAAAAGCTAATATTAGTAGGTATGTACGCCGTGCAAGATGGTCTTTGATATTCTAAGACTATGTCAACATGTTGACTCGTGTATGAAATATGCGATACACAATTAGGGGGCCTAGTAAGTTGGTTAGGAAACTAGTACTAGTATTAGTATTAGTAATACTAATAGTATTTACTGTATCTTTACAGGGGTAGCACTAGCAGTCCCATTTTTTGTTATTTTTCCGGTGATGCTAATGTCTTCCCGTATCCCTAACCCTAGACCGAATAATTCTGTCCCAGATAACGTTTTATATTTTGGATGCGTTATACTGCCCCCCCATGCCCAGTGCCCAATAAACCCTACATGCCCAATAACCCTCGCCAAAATATAAAAAAGGTTATCTGGGACAGAATTATTCGGTCTACCCTAACCCTACCCCTAAACCTAACCCTAAAGGCCAAGACACACTGCAGCGACAGCGACCGACCGTAGGCCTAACGACAAACGACAAAAGTCGCGGCGACTGGCGCAGACACACTGCAGCGATAGCGACCGATTTTAGGTCAAAGTTTACCCAACATTCGCCACAGTGGCACACATGAGCAAACGGCAAAAACGCCTGCTGCTGCCTTTAAATAAAATGTTGTAAAAATGCTCTAGGTATATGGATAATATAATAAAGTAAAATATACGCAGCATATTATACGTACGTACTATAATAAATCACGTCTGACCGTAGCTAGTCCGAGCCAACGCAGACCCCAGTAATGAGCTGCAGTTAAACCAGCACCCTCAGATTAGCAAAGCAGAGTTATAACATCTGCGTGCAGACAAGTCGGACCGCTGACTTGCCTTGCACGTTTTGGTTAGACTGGTTCGCGGCCCCCACTGCTTGTGACAGGCGGCGCGAGTTTAGCGCCGGGGACCAGTCTACTTCCTGGCTAGCATTATTGGTTATAATTTTATGACGTAATGGTAGTTTCACGTGCCGATGGAAACGACTGTGATTGGCCATTTGTAAAGTGTCGCGCGACACTCGCTGGAAATTAGAAACAATCCTACATATTTTTGTCGTCGAGGTTGTCGCCGGTCGTTGTCGCGTGTGTGTGCAATGGCTCATTGGAAACAATAGTTTCTAATTTTCTGAAAAGTCGTTTGTCGTTCCGGTCGGTCGCTGTCGCTGCAGTGTGTCTTGGCACCAACTAGGCCCTAACCCTAACCCTAACCCTAACCCTAACCTTATAATTTACTGAGAAATGAAAAAAAGGGCCAAAAATTTAG